AATACTCCCAAAATCATAACATCAATAATTCAACCTTTGGACCAAGGAATAATTTTAGCTACTTAACGAGTGTTGGAGGATAAAGAAAACAAAGAATACACAAGAGAACAAAATGGAAAATTTAAAAAATTGCAATTTAAAATTAACGATTTTTCATCTCGCGGCTGCATGGAAAGAAGTCAAAATCGAAACAATAGAAAATGGGTGAGCGAATTTAATTGATAATCAATATATTCCTCCTAGAAGCTCTTGATTTTTGCAATGTTGTATAAAACAATATTGGAGAAGAAGTTACCGAGAAAGATGTGCTACAATGGTTTGAAATAGATGAAGGTGATCTTGGATATCGCATTATGACCGAAAATTAAATAGCAGATCATGATGAACTTAAAAGCGAGGATAGTGAAAAAAATGAAACAACGCCAAAAAACCGTCGATATAACGGATTAATACGGGTAAGGGAGTGTCCGTTATATGAAAAATTAGTCTTCCAATGCACGAGTAAACCCGAATATTTTAGTTCTAGGTCTAGTGTTAGTTCTAGTTTTATTTCAATGAAAAATGTACAACAATCTACCGCTGTCTAACAACTACAACTGGAGCTAACCCTAGCACTAGAATTAACACTAGACCTAGAGCTAGAAGCAAACAAGTTTTTTTAGAATAAAATCAAAGTGGATATGTTTTTTAGGTTGAAATTGAAGTTAATATCCTAATGGATATTAACTTCTTGGTATAATTACCAGTTTGTTTAACGTGATAGAAAAAAATTTTCGAATTTTGTTGTACTTTTACTGGTTTATTTATATTTTTGTTGTCTAACTAGTTTCGGCAAAAGCCATCATCAGAGACAAAAGTCATTGTATCTTACAGGAAATTAACATCGAAAATATAAAGCGGTGAACAAATTAAAATTATTACTGTCAGACCATCTTGTAACATCTACCACAAAAGATGTCCATGCGGAGTTAAATCCTTAAAGTTTTGTAAAAGAATTTTTACATGCATTTTAAGTAAATTTTGTGACAATAATAATTTTAATTTGTTCACCGCTTTATATTTTCGATGTTAATTTTCTGTAAGATACAATGACTTTTGTTTCTGATGATGGCTTTGGCCGAAACTAGTTAGACAACAAAAATATAAATAAACCAGTAAAAGTACAACAAAATTCGAAAAAAGTTTTTCTATCACATTTTCTAAACAAACTGGTATAATGGATATTAACTTCAATTTCAACCTAATCAACAATTTTTATTATTCATATTTTCACCCTTTTCTTCAGTTTTTAAATAATTGGCTAAATAAATGCAGTGGATTAAAAATTTTGCATAGCCCGCATTCAACCCTTCAGCGTTGATTGTTGTACGATTATATAAAAGGTCAAACTTATTATTGATATTTTTGTGCTTCTAACTACGCAGATGTGCCTCTTGGTTTATATTGGCGAGCATTGTTTAGCGGTGAGTGATGAGTGTTGAGTGTTATAATTATATAGTATAAAGCAGAGTCTTAGCACAGTACCGCGGTAAACATGCTACCGAAGTCGGTGCGTTTGCTGTGGTTGTTAGAAAATCAGATTTAACGAAAACAATTGGAGTCCTAAACTGAACTGGTTTTGAACACGGTAATCAGGAGACTCATTAAGGAATGATAATCACGGTTGCCTGCTACATTCGCATCTTTTTCAAATTTATTCCTGCAGTAATAAATCTAGTTTCTTTTGCTCTAATTTCAAGTACTATCTTAGTAGTTCTTTGCTTACTACGATATGTTGGTGTTGCGAATGTCTTCCTTTACCTTGCCGACATAAAGGACACGAAGTGTTAGTTGATGTTATTGGAAATTCATGTTGTGTAGTATCTGAGTCATCATTATTAATATTTTCTGCAATTTGTTCTTCATCCTTGCTATAGGTACTCTCAGGTACCTTCGAGAGATTACCAGTTATTGTACTTGGAAGCATAGTATGTTTTACAAATAGCATCAAATAACATTTTCTTGGTAGCACAAAGTTTGGCATGAAGGTTTAAACTACAAATTAAGAAGCTACATGTCTAAGCATTATTCGGAAACCTTAGGATCATATATTTTGGATAGATACTTCAGGGTAAAGCACGCGAAGTGTATACAAATCTAAGGGAGATCGAAGGTGGGATGCCACAAGGGACCGTATTAGCTACCTTTTGTATAAGTGCAACAATCCACAGTTGCAATAAACTTCAAAGAGAGGAGTAACGCTTTGTATTAGATATAAAAAATTGTATTGGGTTTTTGGAAGAAGTTCTGCATTAACTAATCACAATAAAATACTGAACAAACAAATACTGAGACCAGTATGGCTGTATGGGTTAGTAATATAAACGTCATCCAGATATTTTAAAACAAAGTACCGAGGAACATCGTCGATGTTCCCTGTTACATACGCAACATCAATCTCTATCAAAGCTTGGGTATGGGACATGAACAGAGGCTGCATGTTAAGGTGTTTTTCAAACGTTCCGTATGGCGTGAATGTTAAGGTTAAGAATGTCCAAGTCCTCATGGAGCAGCTTAGTTGTTATATACCAAGGGCGCATTTACCATTTGCCGTATCATTTTAGATTGAAACCGTTGGAGTTTTAATATATGACTACTAGCAGTTTCCCAAATATGTGTGCCTTGTTAGTAAGGATCAGGAGATGTATAGTGGGTTCGAGTTCGTGTAGGGTAGAAGAGTTGTTAGATGTTCATAGATGATACAGATACGCTACAGGAGCAGAAGTAACATGTAGGTATTGTGGCGAAAAAGATCATGAGTACAAGAAATATGGTAAGAACAATGATTAGCCGGTTTGTGGCCATAAGATGCGATTCACGAGACTCGCGATGAAAGGTCTGATGAGTACAGGCTGACGGAAGAGTTAATCCGACACGACATCAATTATTATAGATAGTGATGGAATAGTATTGAAGAATATTCAATTGAACACGGACAGAGGGAGTGCTGTCACATTAAATGTGAATATAGTAATGCTACAGAAGCATTACACGATGGAAGAGATATGCGGGAAGAGTAATACAGCTGGGTAATGGTAAGTGTGCGATTGTATATCGTGGATATCATCGAGGAGCATCGCTATACACCTTTGACTATCTTGACGGGCGACTTTAATACTAGACACCCAGCGTGAGGAGATTAATTGATTGAGGAACGAGATGATGAAAGTATTGAATAAATAGCTGGTGCTTAACGATGAAATGGCTGGATAGACAACACAGTAGCGAGAAGAGCTAAAGGCCTTCAGTGGACAGCTTCAGTTTCTCAAAAACTGAAAGTGATTTTTCAAAACGGCTTGTTACATTGACAAGAGGATACTATAATTAATAATTGGTGATATTTCCACAAGGATCCTTCAAGAAATGAATTTTATAGCAAATTTTGAAAGATATCGATGAAAATTGCAACATCGAAAATTTTATTAAAACATCAAATATTGTTTTTTCAAAAACTAAAAGTTATTTTTCAAAACGGGTTGGTTCATTGGAAAGAGGACACTTTTATTAACACTTTGGGAAATTTTCATACTCATATTCCAAGAAATGGATTTTATACGAATTTTTAAAACTTAATCGGCGAAAATTGCAAAATTCGAAAAAATTGTCGATCATTTCAAAAATTTATTTCTCAAGAACTGAAAGTGATTTTTCAAAACGGCTTTTTGCATTAAAAAGAGGATACTTTAATTAATAATTGAAAGTGATAACAGCGACAGTTGTGTTAGTAATGAATGTTATGATGAATTACAATCGAAGAGAAGAAAACTAGACGAAACTGCAACGAGAGATTTTATATATCGTATTGGGATTGTTACAATGAGGTTGCTAATGACAAACCTGTCCAACACCTAAAAGAGATACTAATTACTGCGAATGGTGGAGTACTAAGTAATACTATCTGGTACCGGCTGGATTTTAAAAATTGCCGGATAGGCCGAATACCAGATAGTTGCCGGATATTCGTTCCACCACTAAGTTCCATTATTGTTTTCAGTTGCAAATAATCTGTTGTCTAGTTTGTCAAAAAATGAATAAAATTTCTTTTCAGAGATGCTGAAAACGCCATTCATCCACACTCACAGATGTGGAGCTAACTGATTTGTTCAATGGTCTTCTCTTCTACTATAAATTTACATCTTATTGATTCTTTTGTGATTGTTGTGACTCTTGTGATATCGATAGACATAATCAACTTCCGTTTTAGTCAAGATTGCTGCATCGTCTGCGTAACATATCATACTAACTTTATCCATGCTCATTCTATAGCCCAAGTTCAACCACGACACCTTCTGTATAATTATGCATTTTGTAGTAATAGTATACGACATAAACTTTAAACCAATATTGTAGCGATTGTAGGTTGTTTTAACATGTTGAGTTCTCAAAGTTATGAGATTCGTCTTCAAACTCGGAGTTTCTGGGCAAAAATGCTACAACTACATTTGGTACATTTAGATCACAAATAATGGCCTTATTATGTTAAGATCAAAGAACTATCTTTTATGCCAGTTTTATAACAAAAATTTATTTTTATGGTTAAATTTTAAAATAGAAAATCAATTAATTTAAATAAACATATTAATAATAAATAATGTTACTTTTTTTTTAAATTAGTATTAATTCTCGGCTTTACTTTTGAATAATCTGGAATACCCATATTCATAATTTTACTATTGCTTCTAATTTTTTTTCCATAAATACTAATTGCTTCTTCACTAATTATAGACGACGCTCTGCTACCATTTGCTTGCAGTTTCAACTTGTGAATAGACCCTTGTAATTTTGTAATAGTTTTTAAAATACTTTCCGTGCTCTTATTGATATCGTACCAATCCAGGCGAAATTGACTCGGAGTGACAAAAAACTTTTTTCTCAACGTCGAAACTGTTATTGGTAGATAATCGTCTTCGCTCGAACGTTGAGTATATGATATTATGTTTGTTAAATCGTCTCGACTACCGTACTTCACCATGTTTTCCCATAAATTACGAAAATAGGTTGAAGTGGAATCAATACCTAAAAGAATGTATCCTATATTTACCAGTTTTTATACCTATTCCATTTTCAAAATTTATTTTTATAACATTTTGAAACATATATACTTAAACAATATCTATTTACCAACTGTAACTTTGTAAAGTATTAATATATCAGATTGAATGGGAATATCATATTTTGGTAAAGTAACTTCTGTGGTTCTTTTAGCATCTGTTTGGATTGTATTGATTTCTTTAAACCCCTAAAAAATAATAAGATTTTTATAAAGTTCGATAAATTTGAGATAAATTGTTATCAATTCCACAAAGTTTTTTTTTTTATACTTACATGAAAAATAAATATTTTTGGTCGATATTTTAACGTTTCACAATTCATTATCTTCCTCCATATTTCAACTCCGTGAATTTTATCACCGGACTCAGTGACGTATTCTTCATTTTTATTTTCAATTGTACCGAAAAATAATAATACGAAACTCGTAGAATCTTTATGATTTTCACTTGCAACTAAAAGATAATCATTATGTATTTTAAGCTTAATCAATTTTCTTTACAAAATAAATAACTTTTATCTAAAGTATTTAGGACGTTTTCTTTGGTATCTATGGGAAATTGATTCTCCTTTTTTACGATAAAACCGCAACGTTCGAATGCTTTCTTTGAATCATCTAAGTGATATTTGTGGTTATTATCGTTGAAAATGTATAAAGATCCAGTTCCATTATCCGTATGAAGGTATTCATCTGCTATAATTTCACTAGGGATGGACATTTTATCTGTAATACACTGTAACTTTAAAGGAGAGTGAAAATATGGCGATGAACTGAGAACTAAGGATTTACTAAAACATTAGTGATTCAAAAAATTATTGTTTAGTTATCTTATCGATTATTATTGATAAGATATGGTGAAAATTTATATAGTTATAAGAGTTTGATCGAACAATTTTTGTTTTTTTCTTCAAATTTTAGGAGAATTTGTAAATTGACGTGCGTGATCATTCATTATTCCCCATTAGAACGAAATTCGGATAAGATAAATGATTATTTATTGTCAAAATAATACATAATGAAAAATAACAATACACAAATTATGTTCCTAACAGTCAGACTTGTTGCCAAATGTTGCCAAATGTGATTTTCATGAAAATATGATAATAAAAAAATTTGAAAAACGAACTTTAAAACTAAAGAAAATAACTTTAACAGTTTTCAAAATTCTTTTTATTCTAATTTACAGCTTATTTATCAATAAATATTGAATATATATTATTTATGGACAAACTATCCGAACTTTGAGAACCTCACGAAGACGTATGAAGCATGGTACAACATTTTAAAATTAAGATTTTCGGTTTAGAATTGGATGAAGAATGTTGCTACGTGTATATTATCCGTCAATTTCTAAACACCCTGTATATAAAATACATAAATTTGCTAATACATAACAGTCAATAGGAAGTACGAATAAAATCTAAAATTTTATATCCAATTCGGTTAGCCATTCAAGAGCTGCAGATTTAGCATCAAAAGAATCTCTCACGGCGTTAGGATAAGATCTAATAAGGCAGTTCCTCACAATGTGTTGGATAGATTGTTTTGGAACTCCCCATATATGGAGGCTATCATCACAAACTTCATGCGCCGTACGTACTCTCTTAAGGCCCTTCTGTAGGTGGAGAGGAAGTGTCAAAATGATTTGGTACTAGGTTGGGGAGAATCTGTATTGGTTTATTCCTGATTGTACTTTGCATTTCAAGCTTTTTCTCACTCAGAGTTGATGTAGTTGCTTCTAACCAGTTCCTCAGCAAGCTGTCGGAATCTGAGGCGATTCATATCGAAATAAGATGACCTGCAGTGGGTTGTCAGTTACTTTCTTGAACTCTTTTAGAGTATTCTTCCCTCGCAAGTTTGGCTGAGCGATAGGGAAATCTTGGTGCTACAGCGTTATGTTATTAAAAACTGTCCAGAGTCTCCTGAATGAGTCATTTATAAAAGTATTCGGGCATAGCTCTCAGGTCATTAGAAAGAATGTTGCAAATGCTATATCAACGTCATAGATAAATTTGTTTGTTCAGTTTTTTGTATTTGGTCATTTTGTTTCCCAGCGTTACGCAGAAGTATCTGTCGGACAGCATATTGTCGATAAGTTTTGTAATGGTCTGGCATGGCATGTATACAGCTGTCAAGTCCACAACGGTGACAAATGTTGTGAGACATCTTGGAAAGGCTGCTTCCATGTGTGTGGTGCAGCTTCGTTGTGTTCTGAAACCAGCTTGTTCGATGGGTACAACTTCTGAAAATAACAACATTGTATCAGCTAAATTCGGTATTTTTTTGAGAAGTCGAATGTGTGATTGATGACAACATTGAGACTTCGTGGTCTTCATCACTGGTATCTCTATTAATTGGTAAAGGTGCTCGAGAAAAGTGGTCGGTATTTGCGTCAAAGTCAAATCCATTGATTAAGTCTACGTTAAGACTGTAGACATCCGTGGCCAGTATTAGTGGTAGTTTCGGCTCGTACCTAACCAGGATTTGGTCGCTGCCGATATCATAAGCGGCAGTCTATTTGAATGTAGTAGTGATGCCACATTTGATATAAATTTTGAGTATTAAGATACGTACCCGACAAATGCTCGTACTTAATTTATACATGTCGCGCGTGATGCTTTCGGGATGGGTTCCATTTTCTCTGGAGTCTTCGAGATACTGACTAAGTGTACTAAATATCTTATGGAGGAGGCGAAATGGTTACATTTCTTCTTGTTTATATGTAGGTTGAGGTCTGAAGCAACGGTCCAATCGGGTATAGCATTCAGGCGGTGAGATAGCGTTAACATCAAAGTAAGCTGTCATACCTTTAACACCATATAGCGCTGTGTTGATAAATTTTTGGAATTCATTCTGGACTGTTTTAATTCCAAAATCAAGGTGTTTCATTGTGTAAGAACCTCGGTTAAACGAAATTGTTTATAATTGTTGGCCATCTGTATGTACCACATACTCTGAGACGATTCAATACGTCGTCTATCAATGGAATTAGGTATGTAGCATTTGGGGAATTTAAATATATAGGGGCAATCTATCCATTATTCAGCTTGAAATTGCATATGACATTTAGTACACACCCTATTATTTCTTGAAAGACCACTGCGTGTTTAGTAAATTCAATAATAATAATAAGTTTATTGCCACATAGTTAATACAAGAGAAAAATAATATATATGTATACATAAATGAATAAGTAATGCATATTGACAAAAGGTCAGTTTATCGCCAAAGGCGATGTCTTCCAAAAGACCCAAACCAGCAACGTATGTAAAAAAAATCAATATGGCTATATAAATAATTCAACATTTAAGCAAAAAGAAGAAAAAGAGCAAAGAGGACAAACAACACAACGAGTACAGTTGATAGAGAGGAAGAGAAAGAAAAAGAGGAGAGAAGCAGGCGATATCAATAGTTAGATTCCGATAATTGTAATGATAATAGATAATCCCTTAAGCAGACCTTAAATGTCAGAAAACTACGAGTGTTGCGTATTTCCATGGGTAAACTATTCCAAAGCTTTATAGCCTGCACCGTGAAAGATCCATGATATCTCTCGGTGCGATGAATGGGAAATATGAGTAACGTATCAGACTGTGCTCTAGTAGGCAGACCGCGAGACGACATGAATTGAAAGTTCGTGTACAAGTATCCTGGGGTCCGAGAAGAAAGTATCTTATACAGCGTTGTCAGTATACGGAATGATCTGCGCTTTTCGACAGTCAACATTTGAAGGTGATTACGATATTGCGTAACATGGTCGTACTTACCCAGGTCAAAAATAAAGCGTAGACAGTTGTTCTGCAATCTTTCTAATTTGTTACGGAGGGTAATTGCCAGGTCGGGATACACAGCATCAGCATAATCTATGTGGGGCAGTATTAATGAGTAACAGAGATTACGACGGACAGCAAGGGGAAGAAAACAACCAAGTTTACGCAAAGAATGAAAACAAAAATAGACCTTCCTACAAACAGACTGAATCTGATACCGCCAAGACAGCGCTGAGTCCATTGTCACCCCCAAGTTTTTGACCGTATTGGTGAAATGTATAACATTGTCACCGAGTATCAGTTGCGTATCATTGGAAGAGTAAAATTTTGCAAGTAAAGGTTTTGAGCCGAATGCTATAGCTTGCGTCTTGGCAATATTTAAACTCAGGCCAAAACATTTAGACCAGTCAAGTATCCTGGACAGATCATCATTAAGCCGCGCCATGGATACCGGGAGCTCATTCACAGTTGTTGATGTATAGATTTGAAGATCATCCGCATATAAATGATAGTTGCATGAAATGAATTTGGTAACACTGTTTATAAAAATTGAAAAGAGTAATGGACCCAATACACTTCCCTGAGGCACACCACTATGACTTTGAAACACAGAAGAAGAAGATGAAGTGTCACGCACACAAAAGGAACGTTGAGAAAGGTATGATCTAAACCAAGTAACGCACTCAGGGGCAAAGCCCATAGCAGACAGAGACGACACCAGTAAGCTATGATCCACAGCATCAAATGCTTTGCTGAAGTCCAGCAAAACTAACAAGGTTATTCGTCGATCGTCACAGCTACGCTTAATATCATCAGTAACCTTGATGAGTGCCGATGTGGTACTGTGGCCCGGTCGGAAACCAGATTGATAGTCTGTAAGTAGTTTATGCTCATCAAGGTAATCCTGCACTTGATTGTACACCAAGCGTTCAAGTGCCTTAGATAATACGGAAAGTATCGATATTGGCCGAAAATCACTCAGGCGAGTAGGGCACTTAATCTTAGGAATGGGAACAACGCAGGCCTGTTTCCAAATTGTAGGAAATGTCGAAGACTCTATGGAGAAATTAAAGATATGAAGCAATGGTGGAGTAATTACGTCCAGGATGGGAAGGAGTTGCCTAACACTAACATCATCAGCACCGACACTTGTAGAGCGCGTTTTTGCAAGAGCGTGCCGAACCTGAGACTCCGCAAACATGGTGAAAGAAAACCGAGAATTGACGAGAGCAGAACCACTGATAGTGAGCAATGTTGACTTCTTGACTGACTCGTCGAGAGTAGTGGGCGAATTAGCAAAATAAGCACCTAAAGAATTACAATCAAAGCTATGGCAGGAAGGAGTTTCAATTACGCCAAGAGAACGCATGGTCTTCCAAAACGTTTTCGGTGTTGTATAAGATAACTTCTGATAAATGTAATTTTTTTTGGCATTTCGACAGCGGTGGTTACAGAGGTTCCGTAGAACGCGGTAGTTTTCTCTATTAATATTGGAAGCATTTCGGCGAAGAAGGACCTTAGCCACGTTGCGCTTACGCATAAGATCTCTGATCTTGTTATTGAGCCACGGAGCAGGCAAATTTCTCTTGTTCTAGTGGCTTTTTTATTAAGTCTATTTGGGAGACATGATTTGTTATACCTAGACATTGTAACCATGATAGATCTAGTGCTACTCAGATTTTTTCCTTTGGTAGGAAATATTGACCGGTATATAAACTGGAAATACTACATCATTCTTTTCTATCGACTACATACCAAATTTTATATAATCATTTTCATTAACAAATGTTACAGGGCTACATGTATCGATTTAGAATTTTTGAGTGTGTAATTTTTTTGATACCTACCATATATTTATTCATATCAGCTGAGTTATTGGTGCAATTTATGTCTACAATTTTGTTTACATTGAAATCGACATCCTTTAATCTTAGTACTTGATAATGTTTGCTATATAAACTATTTATCCGTGCCTTAGCCCGAGATACGTCGATTTTGAAGGACGTTCCTGGCTTTATATCCAGAAAATTTTCCAAACGGTGGTGGCAGGCTGTGAAAGTTAGTGACAAGCTGACATCGCACCGGCTGAGTACAACTGTTTCTTCCGGAATATTCCATTCTTCAAGAATCTGCAATAATCGATTACCAATATTATCGGCTGTATGGCTTTCGTCCAACTCTTCAACCCCCAAACATGCAGAATTACTGTTATATTTTCAATAAAATGAATCGTTCCTCCAATAAAACTTTTGATTTGAAGATTTGAAGGCATTGGTAATTTGTATGTTTTTGGCATCATCTCCTCACGCCACACATATTTATCATTATTCTTCTTATAGTGCTTATCCGGTCCGGATGTTGGCGATCATTCTCGCTATCATAACCTTGTCCACTGCTGCACGGAATAGTCCTATTGTTAAGATTCTTGAGTTACGAATTCCTCCGTCGGTCTAAACCAGGTTTCCCATAAATCTTCCCCTGCGATATGTTATGTGGTAAACCGTGTCTTCTCTCGTTCCTCATTATTACCGAGGTATGCGAGTTTGCGAGCTTCTGTCATAGTTATTAATTCGGCTTTTTTTAGTCTTCTATTTTAAAAGCTGCCTATTTGTAGTTGCGTCTGTCAAGGTTCATGATTTTATTCTATACACAAAGACAGAAAAGACGTAACAGAATCGACTCCTAAATGCTGCAGCAACTCTCTTCTGAGATATGTGCATTTTTTGACTGTCTGAATTTCTTGTTGATTTAGCATAAGGGGTTCATAGGGAATCTTCCTCTTGTTTATGATCATGTATTTCGTTTGGTCGACATTCGACACCACATCTCTTATTGACATATTTCACTCGAGACATCAGTTGCTACAATCCTACATTAGGCACTGTCTGTCATAATAAGTGTATCTTTAGAGTACCGGATGTTGTTCAGTGTTTTCTCATTTATAAATATTGCTTCATTGACATTTTTGACAGTCATAATGACGGGTATAATACATATCCTTGCTTTACTCCTCGTGTGATCTTCATGGCATCTGACTTTTCCAAGTATAGTCGCAATATTCCGTTGATGCCAATACAGCTTAGTACATATTTTCATTAGTTTATGTTAGATTTCGTCGAAAGCCTTTAGTTTCAGACATACGTATAATCTTCACATTTTTTGTATATTTTTCTATGAATTATTTTCAGGAATTCTTTTAGTAACTGTCTCACGAGATTAATAATTTTATATTCTCAACATCTCTTTACCCTTATCTTCGTAGGTGTCAAGGCAAATACTGACAACAATCTCTCCTTCGGTATTTCGTTTCATAGATGGATTTGAATATTCTTGTATTTGTATAATTGTAGATTCGTCAAGAAGCTTTAAAATTTCCGATCAAAGGGCTTCATTCTTTCATTTGTTATATTACAGATTGCATTTCTTCAGCAAATGCAAGCGTATGTGTTCAACTCAGCGATGTACTTTATTTTGTACCTTCTCAAGATATTTAGGAAGCTATATCACTATTAGCATTACTTATTTTAGTCTTTGGTTTTCCTACTTTTGTAAATGTTAAAGTGTATCTGTTTCAAGTATCCTATTAAATTAGTGGTGTTCCCACTTGTTTTCAATATTTTTAAACAGATATTACACTGTCCTCTTTTAGAAATCAATTTGTTAAAATACAAACTTTACTTTTGGATGGAGCTACTGTTAGAAGATGATGAGTGATACGCAATATCAATACCATGAAAAATATTAATAAACAAAACGCTGAGCAAAAGAGACTACGTCACATTTTTATAATAATTGTCTGTGGGAAACCCAAACTAATTTCATGTAATTGCAGTTTTCTAGACTTACATTCTCGTGTACTCAAGTTCAAGTTGGTACAACTTCTAGTATCTGAAAACTTTAAATCTATAGAAAAACACCAAAACTTAATTTTCTAACAATAATTCTTTAATCATACATTGTGTTGTGGTGCGGAACAATAAACCATTCATTATTATTATTAATAATAATGGTATATATCGCTCAAAAATTTTTTTATAATGATTTATTTATTCTTTCAGCAGAATCCAATGTAATGTTTACAGTTTTATGACCATTAATTTAGAAAGAGAAGAAAAACAAGGCGTCATTACAATAAGCAATAATAATTTAATATTCAAAAAGGTCTTTTTTACGAGATAATTTTGCAATTTTATTACGCCTGATAATAGTGAACTTTCGCACTGTTGTTTCGCTAAGAAACAACAGCTGTGAACCGATTGCCACATTAATTTACTTACAATTAGTTTGTCTTTGTGGCGTGTCGATTCCTTAACCTTTAGTCTTCGTTGTTGTGATTGTTGTCGTTTTTTGCAGGTTGTTGAGTTTCTACTATGCGAAAAGAAACAAATTTCTTATTACTATGGATTACGTCACTCAATATTCATCTAATATATGGTAAGTAAATCATTTACATTCTTTAATTTAACAAGGGATTGAAAATTGAAAATAAGTATATAAGATAAAATCCCACACATTGTTCTTATTAAATTTTCGTCTAAATATAACCCAAATTTGGTTTAATCATAATACTATTGTGATAATTAAATTTAAATTTCTGTTTTTAAGGTTTACGATAAAACTATTAATTGTTTTATTGTACCTTTTTTAGGGATACCACTAGCTAATTTGACTCTAAATGTACATGAAGCAGGTAATTGCACCAATAAAAAATAAGTCCTCTTTAACAAATTCTTCACAGTAAATGTGGTTGCATATAAATTTGGTAATATTATTTATTAATCTTTGCTTTTTTAATTTTTTACTGCTTTTTAAATCATTAATGTAAAAGATAATATTGATACTGCTTAATTATACAGGTGACTCGAATGAAATCGATGCAGATTTCAACAATTTCCAAGAACCACCAGGTACAATAACCAAAATTTTGTGTTGATTTTTACTTTTCGTGTGTTTTTTTTTTGATATTGCGATTTTTTTTATTTGAGTTGTTTGACTAATGTTTCAAAATTAACCAACGTTATTTATAAAACTTATTTTGTTTTAGGATCACCTATCATTCTTCCTATTACAAAAAATATAACAGGTAGAGAATCAGAATTTTATGATAATTGGAATTACAAATTAGAACATAGTAACACGCCGATTTTAGATGCTAAAGTTAGAAATCACACTTTACCGGAAACGAGCCGATCAACTGTAAGTACGTATTTTATTTTAACAAAATAAAGTTTCTCGTTTTGATCTAACAATGAATGACCGGATTTTATCACTCAATTTTATTCAAATTAAATCGTTCTTTTAGGGAAGATTTTGGGATATGGATCCTGATAAAACGACGCATTTTCCGAAATTCGTGGATAAAGCTTTAAAACTTTTAAATTTGAAACAGGTCGCCTACGAAATTGAGAATTCTTTGTTATCGAAAGTGTCTTGTACAGCTTGCAAAGCAGGTATAAATTATGTTTTTTTAAATAATTTAATTTTATTATTTTATGTTAATTTAGATTTATATAAGAGTTATACAAGGTGTTTCAAAATAACGTTTAAACATTTATGGATTACGTGTAGTTGGGGTCGATCCGAGATTTCATCCGGTCCTTCTGTTTGTTCCTTCTGGAAAGGGACAGACGTTTCGCCAAATCTCACCTGACATCTTCAGTGCGTTGTTGTAGTCTCCTATCAGCAGACTGAGGTACTGCGGTGTTTGGGGCTCCTTTTATAGTAGTCCATTTCGGTTTTAGGTTGTAGCGATTGGTAGGTGGTAGGTTAGTGGGGTTCATGATCTACTTCAAGAGAAAAGCGTTAAGAAAAGTCGATGATATCTTCATCATTTGGCCTTTTGGAAAAGAGAAGCTCCACAACTTTCAGGAATACTTAAACACCATTCCTCCAAAAATCCAGTTCACCACAGAATTAGAAGAAAACGGATAGCTTCCAGTTCTCGACGTACTCGTAAAGAAGCCACCTCCCTGATGTCAAGATCTATTCGACTAATAGACAACGAAAGCAGACCAGAAAAAAAATAACGAAGGTAACTCTGGACCTTTCCCAAAACGACTACTCCAGGTATATGGTGAAGAAAGCCATCGACCGACACTCCAAACCCCGGGATCCACCCCTACAAGAAAAAAAGAGGAGACCCAACGGCGTACTACCCTACATTAGAGGAGTGACTGACCGCAAAGGAAGACTTCTACATAAACATGACATCTCCTCCATCTACAAACCTAACAAGACCATAGGACTTCTCTCAGGAATCCAAAAGAGAAACTGAAACTGGAAAACCTAGAAATTTATTCCAACCCCTAGAGAGAATTACGTGGTATAGACCAACAAAAGAATAGCTGCCAGAATGGAGGAACACAAGTTGAGCATCTGCAACAAATAAGTCACATCTGCTCTCTTCCGCCACTATCTCGATACAGGACACATCATCAACTTTGAAGGCTACAATGAAATAGCCAACGTTCCACATTGGAAGACCAGACTCATCCACGAGTCCATAGAAATAGCGAACAATGGTACCCTCAATAAGAGAGATGACGCCCTACACTTATCAGCCACGTGGAAAACAGTCCTACACCGTCCCCGATCCAGAACAGACTTCCCGAGACATGAACCATCAGACTCCGGACAACAGGTCAATGAACTCCCCGCACCACCTCGACATTGGCAGGTCAATGACCTTTCTCTACTACCCACGGTAGACATCATGCATGATGTCAGCTCCTCCCACCTCACTAACCACCACCTACGACATCTGGTGGAAAAACCCCAAAATCATCAACCACCGGACGGCAGGTCAATGACCTCTCCCTACCACCCACGGCTGACGTCATGTCTGGCGTTAACTCATCGACTCGTCGATTGGAAATTTTGTGTGTTAATTGTTACTCTTTGGTTCGACTTTGCGAAACCAGTAGTGAAATTGGAGACGATTGCAATGGTCTCTTCAAATGTTGAAATCGTTGAAACCAGACATCAGTAGCGTCTTAGCTACACATCTGATTAGGCATCGTTGGGGATAGGTTGTCTTATACCACAATTATAAACATACATACCTCCAGTTTCTGGAAAACACTCTTCCGAGACTTTTGGAAGACTTACTGTTAAATCGAAGACTAAATCTTTGGTTACTATTTCCAGATTTGCGCCAACGAATAGAACACTGTTGTCAGGTAATTCGTGAAAATGACGGAAACATCTTCTATAGGAGCAATGTAATGGAATCGATTTTGTCTCGGTAACAGTTGATTTGCGTTCTGTTGTATTAGTTTGTTACAATATGATATAATCATCTTTCGCTCGAACAGTTGTAATGGACAGCGAAATATCAGAATATCAGAGAATTACGTCTTTAAACTATGACAAGCAGTTGAATTTGAACTCTGCCTTTCCATGATCACAAAACAACATTCATTCCAGCTATTTTCCAGCTGATAATAAGACGTTCAATGTAGTTGATTTGCTATAAACGACATATTCTAGTTTGTTAACGGAAAGGTTAAGTAATGCAAAAAAAAAAAATTTTTGCAATATATTCAAGTTCTCATGAAATCGATGGCACTAACATAACTTCGTATATAGACGTAACTTTGGTGAATGTCAAGGTAAAATGTTAATAGGAGGAAAGTTGTGCATACAAGTTTCACTCTTTTCTTGTACATCGTATAAATAATGCTTCTTCTCTAGTCGGAAGGGATTGTTTTTTCCCGCCATATCTTTGTTATGTGTAAGTGTTCTGTTGGGTGATTTCTTTCCAATTTATATACAGTGATGTGGGGGGGTTACGCCAAAGAGGTTCAGCTTAAACCGTTTGTTAAGGACGGTATCTAATAAATGAACTTGATTGTATGTATATGCTATAGCTATAAATACTTGCAGATATTTTGTTCTAACCTTGTAATCGTTGGTTCTGGCAAGTCGATATTATCTTGATTCCTTGTACCGTCGCGTCGGCGTCATCTGTATGGTCACTATTACTGTCTTGAACTTGTACTGAAGTAACAATTTCTTCATCGTTTAAAACCTTTCTCAAAATTACATCGTCATCAATACGTACTAATTCTTCACATTCGTTGTACAGTATTACATCATTTAAATCAGACACTACTTCAATCAATTCTCGTCACGGATATTATATCTAGCTGGGGTTTCTTCTAATCAAACATTTAATGGAAGTTTGTCTTCAGAATCGAAATCTTGGTTTCCAAAAAAGCCAACATGGTGGAAACTGTTTCTTTCTGCCACGGCCCATGAATAATGTTCATCGCATCCAAAAGATTTATGCTTAAATTTTGATCACCATTATACGATACCATTCTTGCAAGAAGAACGCGTCTACAGGTGGTCTTCAAACTATGAATTACTGCTTGATGTAACGGCTGTAGTCTTGAAGTGCAATAGCATGAATACTAGTTTGATGAAATTCACATTTTTTACCTCTGGATGTGCTGATCTTTCCACTCTCGCAATTCAGAATACAAAATCTCAGAAATCATCCAAGCTTGTGTATTCGATGTATTCTTGACAGGAATGTTTCTGTTCCGGGAGGAGCATGATCTTTGGGATTTACCGATAACTAATAACTTCCTTTTCTATCTATTAAAAGAGAGTCTCTCTCTTTAGATAGCTTTTCACCTGTATATATTTCGCCAGTGAATCGTAATGTCCGATCTGTGACAATTATTAACTGCGACTGCAATGAAATTGACCGTATTCCATCGAATTTCTCAGTTCGTCAGCTTCAGTTTCAAGTAGATTACACGTAATTGTAATATTATTTGCCCTTATTTGAGAAAACCGCTTAACCAATCCTTGGTCCAATTCACCACGTTTTTTTTTCTCTTTTCTTCAAAATCGCACACCCAGATAATTTAAACAGATTCATTTCTCTTCAAAATTAACTTTATTTCTTTCCACTCTGCAACTACTGGATTATTTTGTTCTTCGTTTTTAATGTAAAGCTGTCTAGTTTTTGTTGCACTTCGTCCTTAATTTCATGTTACAACCTTTTAAACTTTAATTTTCTAAATTAGTAACTAATAATCTGATTTCGACTTTGATATGTGATCTTTTTTGACAAAACAAAAAGTAATATTAAGAAACTTTTTTGTAAAATAGATAAGATGAGAGATGTTAATCAATTCGCAGAGTCTCTGAAGATGGCCAAGGGCCGAAACTGGTTAGACTTAAATTCTATATAGAATAAAAACCAGTTTAACAGTACAAAATCAAACTCTGGATTATTTTCTTCAAAAATTTTTACACAAATCGTCAACATTTTGTCTCTAGTTTTAGTGATTAAATTTATGTCACAACTTACAGAAACATCCTGTGAGGGCATCTGTGCTTGTGATAGCTGTCATCAGTGTTCTGTGATAAAAAATGGACAGGCACCAAGCAATTTTCTATAGATAAATAAAATCAAAAAAAAATGTTTTACAACTGTTTTATTTTAAATATTACATTAACCTGACATGTTTCGGTCTATAAGGGACCATCATCGGAGGTATCGTAAAATATAAGAGTGACATACAAAGATTAACATTAGAACCAGAAATACATTACTGTATTTCTGAAGGTGTTTCGTTACCTGATTCTTTCCCCAGTCATGTTTGGAAATAATGTTTCCAAATAGATCTTTTTTTTTGGCGTTTGCAGACTATTTGATTCTGATCGTTTCTATACAGACTTGTCTTTGGTTTAGCATTTTTTTTATAAAATCATTGTCATACTTCCCTTTCTTGTTCTTAGATATTTGACATCTGAATTTTGCTTGTATCAGGAAATGGTCTGAGCCACAGCATGCTCCTCTTATTGTTTTCATATCCAGGATGCTATTAGTGACAAAATTTGTTATAAATTCTCCATTCATATTGCTTTCTCCGTGCAATGAGTCTTTCCTTATAATACCCGTAAATTACACCCCTTTTCTCAGCTTGGCATTCATATTGTCTAAGATTATTTTGATTCCTCTAAGACTTCTTGTTAGAAAGACCTTTCTGTGATATTTTCCTCTTGCTCTTCTGTGGGGCAGTGGACATATTCGCTCTATGATGACTTGAAAGTCTATTATACATTGGTTTTAAAGTTATTGTCTACTGTGACACCATTTATGATAGTGTCTCTAACCACTTAATTTCCTGTATTACTGTCACAATCATCATATATTTCGTTAATTCGTCAAGCAATGGTACATGATAGTTGGGTTTCTGTGTTCTTTAAGGTTCTCACATTCCATGTTTTTAATATATAAGGTAGGGACACCGTTTATGGCCACTGTACCATTTATGGCCATTTCAGAGGAAATCGTTGCGCATTAAGATCCTAATAGATAGTAGTTGAAAAGTAAGTGCATTACAGGGCTTTGTCAGACCCTAATTCATCACAGACAGTGTTAGATGACGTTTCCAATATTGAAACAATTTGAAAATGGTTTCCATGTTTTAGCTGATGTGCTGTGCTCGAAAATCTTAGCAAAAACGGTAAGAGCAATGCATATTTAATCTTTTATTATCTTTAGCGTCGTTTCATATTTAAGCGATCTTTTGAACTATATGATCACAAATACGTTAGTGTCAAAGTTTTTAATAATATTATAACTATAAATTGAGGTTAAGCGTATTTTTGTTAACGTGGCCATAAGTAGAGAGAATTTCGTGAAGTTTGCCAGTTATGGCCATGATCTGGCCATAAGTGAATTAGCGTAAACCCAGTTATGGCCATTCTGTTAAATTTGATGCTTTAATAGATTTTGAAAACTCCATTTTCTAACAATAAGCCCTGCAAAAAGTGGTTTACTTCTTTCCTAAATAGACACCCAGAAGCATGTTAAATATGTCAACAAGGCAAGGGGTTACTGAGGAAACAATACGGAGATGGTTTAAGGAAGTTGAAATTTTACTTACAGAAGAAGAAATTGTAGCAATAAGGGATCCAGAGCGCGTCTTGAATATGGATGAGACTTGCTTCTGTTTGGCTCCAAAAGGAGCACTCATTATCAGGCCAAGAGGACAAAACGTTTACAATGAATCTATAAATTCGCATAAAGAGAATGTGACAACTTTATTTTCGGTCAATGCATGCGGGCAGTTTGCTCCACCACGACCCTCCCATTCAGGTACCTGCACTCCTTCAAGAAACATTACCAACGATACTAAATAATCAAGTTTCGGAAATAGAGGTGATGCAAGAATCACTGAGGTGCAAACACCCCAAATTTCAAACTCTGAGAGAGTGAAGCTGTTGCTCAACAATTACAGGAGTTGAACTTCAACAGCATAGCTGAAAGTATTGATCCATCTACATCATCAACGTTGATTATACTTGCCACGCTCTTGCCTCAGTGATGTCATTCCTTGACCACACCATAAACCGACAGTACGAAAAAGGAAAAAAGAATATACTCCAAGCGTTGTTACGTCTGACAAATGGGTGGAATATTTTGAACTCAAAGAGAAAGAGAAGAAAAATCAAGAAGAGCTGAAAATGGAGAGAAAGAAGAAAAGAGTAATGCAGAAGCGCAGAAAGCAAAGAAGACGAAGAAGACAAAGGAAAACTGTTTAGAAGAAGAAGAGGAGGGAGAAAAGTGGAATGAAAGCGGAAGCAGCTTAGATGATGTAGACGATATTGAGACAGAAAATCAAGACACAATTGATATGTATCAAGTTACAGCCCTGCAGGAGTCTGTTGCAAAAATTTCATGTATGTTGGATGACGATGAGTTTGAAGTACAATGTCTAAAAAGGTTAGATCAGACTAATTGTAAGACACATTTCAAAATGTTAGACAATGGCAAATGTGCCATTACAAACGAAGAAATCCTTGGAACGCTTCCAGAACTCGAACTAAAAAATGTTAGTCGAAAGATGACGATTGTTTTTCGCAGTGCTGTAGACGTATTTGAAAAACAATAAATGTATTCATGTCCTTAACTTTTGTTGTATCTATGTGCCTAATAAAATCTAAAAATTGTATTTTATTGCGCTTGATTTCTACGCAAACAAATTATGATGGCCATAAGTGGAAACTTTTATGGCCATAACAGCGATTTGGTGGTCATAAATGGAAAAATTGATTTACTTTTGAAAATTATTTTTTGTTTTAAAATACTTGACGCAAATAAAATGGAAGGTGCCTATATGCAACAAGAGCTAAGAAACACTATTTTGATTTTTTTCTCGCATGTCAATTCCAATTTTATTCCAATTTATAACTAAGATACTTAATTTTAAAAGTTGAAGAGTACTAAGACCCGTTACTATCAAACCAATGCTATCTGTCAGTTAAGCTATCTATAAGATACAATTTATCTCGTAGATAACATGGTCGTGCGTACTACCACCTCCATTTATCTCATAGTTAAGAAATCCTTGAGATAACCAAGGAATCTAGGGATTTTTTGGTCTATTATGTTAAATTGACAGCTCTATGTGGTCAAAAAACCTACTATTAGGTATTTTGACGATATTCTAACCTGTTCTAACCTTAAAATTAAAATTTGGAAATGGAGACTGAGAAAAGGCGACGAACCACCAATTTCATCAAAGAAGAATGCGAACTTCTTGAATTTGTTATCAAACATAAAAACGTAATAGAAAACAAAAAAAGTGATGCAGTTACATGACAAGGAAAGCAAAAAGTATGTATATCTCGTATTATTGTATGTTAAAATGTGATGGTAAACAATAATGGCACAACTAACATGATAAACGACTGAAGATGCCAATTGTACACTCATTCCTGCAAAATCTGCTATGGATAGCAACATGTTACCTATTACATAAAACCGAAGAGTCAGCAACAAACGGTTTGAAGGAGGTACAGTCGTGTTCACTGGAAATGCGCACTCAAGGTCAAGCGCTGTTGTGAGACCCGACAGGCCGCTGGCTAAATTCCTGTTATTTAATGTAAAATTCATCAAAATTTTAGTAATAATGCTGTACAGTCGTGTTCACGGGAAATGCGCATTCAAGGTCAAGCGCTGTTGTGAGATCCGACATGCCGTTGGTTAAGCAGGACCGCCACAAGTCCCTTCTCCACCAGCTTCGTGTGCGCTCGGCTCAGCCCGTTTCGCCAGCGGCATGTCGGGTCTCACAACAACGCTTGACCTTGAATGCGCATTTCCCGTGAACACGACTGTACAGCATTATTACTAAAATATTGATGAATTTTACATTAAATAATAGGAATCAACAAATTATTTACGTCATGGATGGAGGATTTATTACATCATCTATTTGATTCAAAAGGCGATGAAAACTTTTTTTCGAGAGACGAAATCTCGTCATAAATTCAACTCTACTCCTTATTATCCTTTCGCTTCTCACAGGAAATAATTCATTGATTTCTTCAAAAATTTGTTCTTTATCTCCAATGTCGAAGAAATTATCCATGATGATTTTATCTAATGTTAATTATTAATAGTTTTTTATTTAAGTTTATATTACTTTTCTTATTTTAACTGAAATAGTAAAACGCTCGAATTTTATACGTCAGTATAAATCCTATTTGAGGTTAGATATCATCAGTTATACCTTAGATAGCAACTTATCCGACACCCAATCCACGGGTTACAGATATTTTAAAAGTTATCCCTTGGATAGCGGTATCTATAAGATAAATACAGTGGTAGTAACCAATTTTTAAGCTATCCGATGGATAACGCTATCAGAGACTTTAACTATGAGTGGTAGTAATGGGCCTAAATGTGGCAATAACTGGTTTCTCTACCCTATTCAATTTTTCTTTGCCTGAATGGTCTCTGGTTCCGTCCAAATGTGTAATGGGTTGTTTGCCCGATGCTGAACCCTCTACTATGATGGTTATCGCATTAGTTATCACAGTATAAAATTCGTTGGATTTATGTTATTCATTTGGTACAAATGTTAAGAATGTCTCAGTGGTTCTCCCAGTTTCATGAACATACCGGATGACAATCGATAACTGATCTTTATGTAAGATGTCAGGTGATGGATGCGCAATTATGGAGAAATATAGTTACAGTTACAAAGGCAGATATAATATTAGCTAGTTAATGAATTCTAGCTTCATAACTCTAGTTTTATAGATTAAATTTTTTGATTCACTTCATCATAGCTCTAAAGATTTCAATAATTTCTAGTTATAATTAAAAAATTCTAATACAGACAAGATAATATGTTGTAATAATGTGATATACTTGTTTAGGAGCGGGACTTTTACAACATTACATCAAAACAGGAAAAACTGAAAAAGAAATCAAATCCACAATATACCAATTTTGTGTAAATTTAAAAATACAGTCACCTAGAGTTTGCGAAGGAATCACCGAACAATTCGCACCAGAAGTAATTTACGTTTTAGGACAAGTAAAAATCGGTAATATTTATTAAAATCAAAATCATAATTTATTATAAATCCTTTTATTATAATAGGACCAGAAGAAATATGTTCTTTTGTAATTGGGGACGGTTGTGGAGATGTTTATAATCCTTACCACGATTGGGAAGTGATTTTTCCACCTGTTCCAAAACCTACATTAATAGAACAAAAAATACCTGAAGTTAGTTTTTAATTTATTCGCTTAAATTAATTATTTTACAAATTTGATTATATATTTTAGATTCAAGCACCAACATTTAAAGTTCTTCATTTATCCGACACCCATTATGATCCTTATTACCTTGAAGGAAGCAATGCGGATTGTAACGAACCTTTATGTTGTCGTTTAACGAACGGACCTGCTGCATCTAAAGAACAAGCGGCTGGGAAATGGGGTGATTATCGAAAATGTGATACACCAAAAAGAACAGTGGATAATTTGTTAACACATATATCTGATACGCATCCTGTAAGATTAAACTTAATAAATTTTAAATCAATTAATTTAAGATTTTCTTAGGACATTGATTATATTCTTTGGACTGGAGATTTACCCCCTCACGATATTTGGAATCAAACGAAAGAAGAAAATTTAAATATTATCAAAGAAACCGTTAAGCAAATGTCTGATACATTTCCAAATGTTCCAATTTTTCCAGCTTTAGGAAATCACGAATCAGCACCAGTTAATAGGTAATATTTATTATTTTTTTAATATTCAGTTCGATTTGTGCATCGTTAAAGAGCGAATGTGTTTTGCGATCGTGCGTCAAGTGCTTTACGCTTTATAAATCGTTTATAAATAATATAAATAATGTAAAATAGTGTGAAGAATACAATATTTTTGATATTGATAATATAAACATATTAATAATATAAATCATACACGCGATTTTTAACAATAAATAACAATGAGCAAAAATGTGGGTGAAATGTGTGTGGAAAAGTTTACTCCAAAACGGATATGGAATTCTCCCTGTTAAATTCCCTAGAAAAAGAAAGAACACATTCCGCCGAACATAAAAAAAACAAATCGAACAAATAAAGGAGCAACGCACTAAAGATGAAACTACTCTTCAGAAACAAATAGATGACCAGAGGGGCATTATAGAAGGTCTAAAAACCCAACAAAATCTTAACCCTCTAGTAACCACCAAAGTGGTGTATGCCACAGACGAAGATGAGTTAGCTTTGGAGACTGGATAATAAAACAAGCTAAAAGAAACAAAAAACGTAAAACTGAAACCTCGCCATCTAAACTCTGAATCTTAATTCGCAAGAAAAGTACAGAGAAGCACCAAAGATGCTTACTAAAAAGAACTTGTCCTGGTCAACTTATGAAAATAAGTAAACCAGAAATCTGAAAGTGGTCGCCAAAAAGATGCAAAAAAGCTGTGATGTTAATGATATCAAAGATGATTTAGTGGAGCGCAAATATAACATTTGTAAAGTAACCCAAATGTTAAAATACAAAACAAAAGCGGCTCTTCCTTTATACATCTTGGATTTTGCACCGTAAGAGGATGCAAAAAGAATCCATGAAATAAGCATATTAGGAATGTGAGTCAAAATCTCAATGAATGCTCCAGTGCAAAAGGTGTCAAGGTTGGAGCCACACAAAAGCTTACTGCCACAAAAATCCGAGATGCGTTAAATATGCTGGTGAACACTGGACCAGCGAATGCACTAAAGCCAAAGAAATCCCGGCTAAATGTTTCAACTGTGGACAAAATCATCCAGCGAACTACCGAGGATGCATTGTGATTAAGGAACTACAAGCCATCAGGAATAAGAAAACAGTAAATTCAAATAAAATAAAGCCAGGCGTCTCTTATGCCGAAAAAGCGAGTGATGAAACCGCAGAGAAAACTGTAAGTACATTGATCGATAAGAAGGCTGACAGTAAATCACGTCTAGATTTCATTGAAAGCAATTAATGACGTTTCCAACGCAATATCGAGCAAAAACAGCTAAACGAGCAGATTTAGCGACGTAAGTGCTTTCGTAAAGACATAGTGATATAAAAAAAGCACAGCTAATGTCAATTTTTTGTTGATTTATTACATTTTAGGCCAGTTTTAAGATTCTTTCTTTTATTGTGTTTCTGAACAGAGGAGTATCTTTGATGCGTTGAATTATCTTATCTTTATTATCGAAATCATCAAAAAGAGAAGACGCTTCACACTTTTTTCGTAGTGCATAATAATGAATTTTGTGATCAGTAACGTGCCCAAAATATTGTGTCGCGTGCCATAGATTCGCCATCCGTGCTCTAGCGTAATTCAAAGTGATCAGCAGAGTAATATACCATGTGTAAAAATGAAAGAACTATATTATGAAATACAAAAACTAAATATAAAGAAATCAGTAGGCTATGACCTAATTAATGAAGAAACATTGAAACATCTACCAACACGGGCGATTACAAAACTATTACACATAATTAATGCTGCTTTTAAACAAAAATACTTCCCAAGCATATGGAAAGTTGCTGAAATAATAATGATACCAAAACCTGGAAAAGCCCCCACCGATGTTACATCATATAGGCCAACCTCATTATTACCCTTACTATCAAAACTGCTTGAAAAATTACTATCAAAAAGACTAAAACCTGTCAAAGAAGAAAAAGCCCTAATACCAACACATCAATTTGGGTTTCGGAATAAACATGCAACAATAGACCAAGTGCATAGAATAACGAATGTTATCGAAATAGCAATGGAAGAAAATAAAGTCTGCTCCGCCGTATTTTTTGATGTTGCACAAGCTTTCGACAAAGTCTGGTTAGATGGTTTAAATTACAAACTAGACCAAATACTACCATCAACGTAGGGTCAACTATTAAAATCGTGTCTTTCTGATCGATATTTTAGAGTAAAATACGAAAACGCTTATTCACCATTACACGAAATACGAGCCGGAGTTCCTCAAGGAAGTGTGCTTAGCCCAATACTGTACTTACTCTACACATTCGACATTCCTCAGGTACCAGAAACTTTAACAGCTACATTTGCAGATGACAGCGATCTTGGCTGTTGCAGAAAATGAAGTAGTTGCAGCAAATAAGTTACAATTGGCCTTAAATTCAATAGAAAACTGGACCAAACGATGGCTAATAAAACTAAATACAAATAAATCGACATACATAAACTTTACTTATAATTAAGTAAACTATGCCACAGTACACATAAATGGCAATGCAGTCCCTTACGTCGACACCGCAAAATATCTTGGTATGACGCTGGATGCCCGCTGGAAAGCTCACCTCAAAAAAAAAACGTGAGGAACTTGATATCAAATTTAGACACCTATATTGGCTTATTGGCAGAAAATCAACGTTATCACTAAGAAACAAGTTGCTAATATACAAGCAAGTATTAAAACCAAAATGGACATACGGAATCCAACTGTGGGGTTGTACCTGCAAGACAAATGCAAGTCTGATTCAAAGATTCCAGAACAAAGTACTAAGGTGCATAGTGAATGCACCCTGGTATATAAGAAACACCGACCTCCANCAAGCACTACGCAATATTTACCACCATTTTTGCAAACACAACCGGAAGGTAACACTAACTATACTTTATTTTTTAATTCTGAGGAGTGTTTTTAAATTGAAGCGCCAAAAAGAGGGGTTGCTATTGGTTAGTTTTAAGCAATAATTATACTAGGAAAATTCGAAATGTTGCCGGCCGCCTAAAAACATTCGGGTTTAACCATACGTCTCAGTATGACTAGGTTTTATGTTAGTTCTAGTTTTGTTCAATAAAAATATACAACATAGTAATATCTTATGCTACAGTTGTTCATCTACATAAAATTTTGGCAAAAGATCACAACACTGATCTAGACCACCTATGCAAACAAGACGGTAAATACACTGAGGATGCTAAGGAATCGTTGGAGCTCCTACTGAGTACACACTTCCCTTCCTCAAAAGTCTGCCCCCAGCAGATGCCTACCCTGAAGTAATGGACATAACCCGTCCATCAGGTAGGCTTCGCAGCATAGCTGGGAACATTTTTACACCCAACAGAGTAAGGTGGGCTATTTCTAATTTCAAATCCCTGAAATCGCCTGAATGAGATGTAATTCTGCCTATTTTTCTGCAAAAAGGCTTAGAAGACCTGCTCCCAGTAATAATATCCCTATACCGGGTGTCCCTCAAAAGTGGCTCACCCCCATATTTTTTTTTATTATTAGTGATATAAGAAAACCATTTGGAGTGCATAATTATGCCGTTAAAATGGATTATTACGACATGAAATCATACTCTTTGTACTTCCGGTTATACCAGATGTGACTACTAATTTCGCTTTTTTTTTTAAATCTATGATTTTTTTTTTTCTTCAGATGAGTAGACAGCATAATTTCACATAACTTTTACTTGAAAAAATTTTCATGATCGCTTATAATTTTTGAAGAAAAAAGTTATTTTCGTTGTTTTTCAACGTTTTAGTATCTTCGGAAAATGTATTACTACTTTTGACGCATAGTTGCTAGGTTAATAGTATAAACTACGTTATGTTCCTCTTGATTTGCTATTTCTCGAGCAGTGATCACTGCAACGCTTTAGTCAGCGGTTCTTTTTTAATAATGGTGTAAATTAACAATAGTATTAAATTAGCTTTAAAAGAAAAACGCGAACAAACAACTAAATTTAATTCAATTATTTTTGATCATTTATTTTTTGTTCTTTTACACTAAATGTTCTGTAGCTGATGGTAAATTACAATGTACAATGTCCATTGTACAGGGTGTCCCAATTTCGATGTCCGCATAGGCTATCTCCGAAACTAAAAGAGATAGAAAAAAAGTAGCTTACATGTCATGATCTCGTTTTTCGAGAAAATGCTAATTCCGAAAACTCCGAACAGCTATCGTCTTTTGTTTTCGCCCTATCGGCAAAAACTGAAAATTTTGCAAAAACGACAATCGCGAATATCTCACTTATTATCAAAGATGGAGTATTATAAATAAAACATTATATGGGCAACTTTTTACGAAGAATTCAGTGG